CATCCATCCATCCATCCATCCATCCATCCATCCATCCATCCATCCATCCATCCATCCATCCATCCACACATCCATCCAAACCAATAATTAGAGAACACAGAACCTCTTATTTTAAAATAATTACTTGACTTCTTTCTGTTTCAGTTGAAATATATATAATATAATTTACTGTCTGTTTTTGTGAAACAACATATTTTCTTGTTATAAACTATATTTCTTGTCATATCTGCTGCAGACATTTAAATGTTGGATCTTTTTGTTCACTAGGGTGTAACTGCTGGGTGAAACTAACGACACGTCACAGGAATTAGATAATTAAAATCATGGCTGCTGCCCCTCATTAATAACCGGCCCACGCCCCCTCGTTAACTCAGAGACAGTATTGATCCTGATCCTGGTGGGGGGTTTACCGCTGGAGGACGGGTTCCTGGTGATCCGACTGTCCAGGAAGAGTCGTGGTTCTGCATCGTAAGCATTTAACWGTGAGATCATTCATCACTTTGAGTCCCGCTGAGGAGCTGCAGAGTGGAAATCCATTAACGTCAGACCGGCTCCAGGTCTCAGGGAGGAGGATGTTTACATGTGACAACCCCCACTTCCGTAAAGAAAACTATAAAACATTTAGAWGTTGACAGATCAGTTTCTGAATCTGGGTGAGACTTTGATGAAAACGCTGACCTGGATTTTAATTTTTTACCTTTTTATTTCTGTAAATTTTTCAAGTTACTGTTTAAAGTGGTTCCTGGTAAAAACTGTCCTGAAATGTTCCCAAAATAGTACAATTTTCTAGTTTAAACATTTGAAATATTTACTATGATCCTTTCTGGATAAAATATGAGTTTATGAGAATTACAAATCATATTAGTCTGTTTTAATTTACTTTAACCGCAGCATCCCAGCAGCTTCAAYTTCAGCAGATAAATCCTGAAATGAAGCTGAACATTTGGCTGAGGATGAGGAGCATTTCTGTGGTTTTAATTAGAGCTCAATCTTTAATGAAGGAATTCATCATAAATTAACGACGACATCGTTGAACAGATAATCGTTTGAGATCTTTGTTAGAGTTAAATACATCTAACCACCCAATCCAAGTTGAAGTGTGGCTCAAAGAGAGCTAAAAGAGCTGAAAGAAAACAGAGTTTCAGGATGTCTACATCAGCAGCTGAATCAGGCAGCAGGTGATAAAAAAGTTMTTTTTAATAATTCAAACACAATAAGTGGAAACACCAAGGAGGTCCTGCAGATCCGGAGCTTCAGCTGCCGGCGTTTAATCTCTGAAACTCTCAGATCTCTTCTGATATTAAAGGAATCAGCTGCAGGTTCTGTTTAAAATGAAATGTTCAGCTGTTAGTAGAAACTCATCGGCTGATATCAGCTGATGCTGACTGATGGAGAAAAGCTTTTTGCCAGGAATTGATTTGACTCCACTTGATTTTAAATCGTCATGTTCTCTCTGGAGTCACCATCGATTTAAACAGATCGACCAATCAGAAATGTCTAAATAAACAGATCGACCCATCAGGACCACCTATTTAAACAAAACGACCAAACAGAAACATCTACTTAAACAAACCGACCAATCAGAACCATCTATTTAAACAAACTGACCAATCAGAACCATCTATTTAAACAGATCCGCCAATCAGAGCCATCTATTTAAACAGATCCACCTATCAGAACCATCTACAGTATTTAAACAAACCGACCAATCAGAACCATCTGTTTAAACAAACTGACCAATCAGAACCATCTATTTAAACAGATACGCCAATCAGAACCATCTATTTAAACAGATCCACCAATCAGAACCATCTATTTAAACAAACCGAACAATCAGAACCATCTATTTAAACAGATCCACCAATCAGAACCATCTATTTAAACAAACCGACCAATCAGAACCATCTATTTAAACAAACTGACCAACCAGAACCATCTATTTAAACAGATACGCCAATCAGAGCCATCTATTTAAACAGATCCACCAATCAGAACCATCTATTTAAACAAACTGACCAATCAGAAACGTCTAAATAAATACATCAACCAATCAGAAACTCCCACATGAACAGACTGACCAATTAGCTCTTCGACGGTCCATGGTTGAATTTGGGTTTATATTCCTGGTTCTTGAAGAATTCAGCTGATATTCTAAAACTCTTCTTTTTGCCAGAGTTGGTAGAGCTCCTGTTGACGGATCAAAATGACCCAGGTCAGGTCCAGACCCTGGGTCTTTTTGAGCCGAAGGCAATCTTTGAGAACCACAGGTCCAGGTGTTGGTCTGAGGTGAAGGTGCAGACTGGAGGTAGTCCTCCTCAGTTGGTTCAGTGTGTGAATCAAAGAGAAACTTGTTTTTAGAAATTATTAAGGTTTTACGTTTTTCAACCGTCCTTCTATGGAAAAAGAAACGTTTCCAAGAAAAAAACTCAAAGAACCAAAATGAGCCTGGACCTCCTCACATCACATCACTGAACCTTAAAGTTAGAGACATTTATTAGAGTTTCAGCTCTGAACTGTAATGTCTGATTCTTCAGGGGACGACAGTGACCTGATATACAGTAAATGCAGATTATTTCTGCTGTTTCTCAGATTAGATCTGAAGATTTGTTTCTGTAATCCCAGAGCTCTGAGTGTTTCTGCAGAAAAAACATCAAGAAACATTGTTTAAACACAGAAACACTGCAGCCAACACTCCTCCTCCTCCATCACTCCTCCTCCATCACTCCTCCTCCATCACTCCTTCATCCCTTCATCTTGATGTCATTACAAAGTGTAAAGGTGAGTAATAAAGGCCGGCTGTCGTCCACCACCTCACCTCCAGGAGAAACCCTGAAGTTCTGTTTATCCCGGTTCTGCCCTTTCACCCCCCCCCCCACCACCACACACACCTCCACACACACACACACACCTCCACACACATACACACACCTCCACACACACACACACCTCCCCCTCCCCCCGGTGGTGTCTCTGCAGTCGATAACAGCTGAAGGTGCTAAGACCTTTCTCTCATTAACGTTCGGCTGATTTCGGCTGGTCGGAGGAAGGTGCACTCCTGGCGCCGCTTGGGCCCGGCGAGAGAACTCGAGGTCCGTTTTGGACCGGTCCGTTGTTCCGATCAGGGTCACGGTTTATTTTATTTATTTATTTATTTTACATCTGCTGGACTGAGATAGTGACGGTTTCAGTCCATGACCAAAAGGTTCTTGAATAAGAACGAGACGCTTTGAAGCTCCGGATTATGTGTGTGTGTGTGTGTGTGTGTGTGTGTGTGTGTGTGTGTGTG